GGGGGGGGGGGGGATACAAATTTCCCATCTATTTTGTCTAAGGTTGTATGGAATGTGTCAACGTCTCGAAATAGTGGTCACTCTCTATTAGAGGGTCATCTTTCGACACATTTATCTCTTGAAAACACTGGTCTGTGACCCAGTCACAGGCGTCACCGAGGACGTCCAGACTTCTATACCCTAGGAGAACATTTTTGCACATCGTGTCCAGGGCCCGGTTGCATAAAACCTGCACTTAAGTGCTCACTTAAGTAGGTCACTTACGAATCCGTTATGGGTACACTTACGGGTGTTGCATGGAACACACTTGGCACTCTGGTAAGTTTCTGTTTTGCGAGGTAACTTACGGGCTCACTTAAGGGCACACGTAACCTTGATATAGTACTTTATTAACGATTCACTCTTTTTTTTTTTTTTAAGCTAACCATCGGTGAGTGTAAAGAAAGTTAAAAGTTGTTTCCAACACTTTTAAGCCTCTCAAAAAATGAAATTTGAATGCAAACGTTATTTTTCTTCAATATCCACTGAAAATGATAGTTCTTCTTCTTTTTTTCACAAAAGTGTACATCAGAGGTTAACGAAGCGCATTAGAACGAATTACGTGAAGAAAAATACTTTTTTTCACTTCTCAGTAAAAGTTCTCGTTAAATTTAGTAAAAACAGTGACAATACGGGACCTACATAGGTCCCGTAAATTTGCGTGCTATTTTTCCCGTAAAAAAGTTTTATGCAACACCCGCAATTTCTGTTGCATAAACGACACTTAAGTGAACACTTAAGAAAATCGTAAGTGCAACCACTTAAGTGAATTTCCTAAGTGGACCACTTAAGTGATTTCATGCAACTGACTTAAGTTACGAGTGCACGTACGTGTACCCGTAGTTGTTACGGACGTTTTATGCAACCGGGCCCAGGAGTTTAGAGAAAGGTGCTCTTGAACTTTGCATTACTCGTAAATTATAAAAAGATCAGTAAAAAGGACCATTAACGTAATATCTCAGGAGTTACTAGACAGTGGACTTTTTATACCTCGCTGAAATACCAACAATGATGGAAGACTGAAACTTTTCGTTACAACTTTAAACTGTGTAGCACACTCGAAGTTTGTTAAAATGACACGGTCGTCACGTTTCACTGACGGTTTACAAAAGGCTTTTGTGTGATTTAAGATGAATTGCAACGGTTTTCAAAGGTCAGTGAATTACGATTAACAGCCAATTGAAATAAAAGTGACTCACTTTACTGTAGAACGACAAAATCGTAAAAAAACACGATAAAAACCGTGACTGTTGTAAATCGTGCTTATCGTTATGTTTGTCAACATAAATCGTGTTCGATTTTTTAAAATAAAAAAAAATGTATATAGATAAAATATCACTAACAATGATCTGTAAAGGCACCGATAGACAACATAGCGCCAAGGTAACAGCCTCTCCATAGATTGCCTACAGGTCTAGCGAGCAAGAATAGCGTATCTGTGTGGTTTTTCGGCAGGTTCGAGTCTCGTTTACAGACATTAACTATTTTTTTTCCTTACTGTAATTGTTCCTGCAATTACCAGCTGGTGCAGTTTCTATTATGTTTGAAAGCGTTCTGCCGTTAACCGTACAAAAACAATGAAATGAAACAATGTTTCTCGCTGAAACATACAAAGAAATCAAAGCAAGCGAAGTACAAGCAGAGAGCAAGAAGTACTGGGTGAGTACCATTTAACGTGTTTTTACAGTGCTCGCTTATTGCGATATCAAGACTAAAGATACATAATTAAAAAATGTATACCTTAATTCAATAAAGGTTGCTTTGGCAATTAGGCATTGGGCATTTGGACATACAATTTGGGTATACAATGTTTTGCTTGATTGACGACAAAGCAATACCGATTACCAGTGCCCAAAGCAATTTTATTGAATCAGCTATATATAGCTATATATAGCTATATGATTAATGTGACTCATTAATGTGTCATTTCTCCAGCTTCTGGGGAGAGGGCGTTACTGTCATCCGGGACATTATATATGTGTTTTTATGGCATGAAAGCCCAAGGCCTCTCTGCTCACTGCAACAAGAAAGTTGGAAAACATTTTTCCCCCTCCCTTCCCTTCCCTTTGGCTCCACTTTCATCTCCCGGATGGCGGGTGTGCCCTCACCTTTGCTGGGATAAATCTTCTTGTGTATTTGGATTTTCCTAGCTTGAAGTGCTTAAAATGAAATAAACGGCCACTCTTGTGGCCAAATTTATCCCAAACTGGAATTGTCATTATTGGGTATCCCAGAGAAACAGAGCTCACCCAAAGCGAGACTCCACCAACAGCAATAACTGACTCAATAATACTATCTAAAGGAACATATAGCATAAATGATATTTATTTGATTCTTTCTTCTATTAATGCGAGTAAACGATCATTGAAGTTTAAAGACTATGGAAATGTGACCGTTTTCGAAGAGTGCTTATATTTTACGTTCTTTACTTTTAATTGTAGTCAAACAGTCGGATATTCAAATCATAGGCCGCTATCATGTTATTTCTAATACTAGGCAGACCGTGGCTATTTTACAGTCGTGGACTTAGTATCCTAGCCCTTAGGTGAACGTTAGGCTGAGGTTTGACCTTTTGATGCAATCCTCCTTCCCTTTTTTATGGAAACTATGCTTTAAAATACTAGTTAACATACGAACAACACGTTATACATAATAAAGCAGGAAGGGTTGTATCAAAACAAGGTCAACTCCAGCCTCGTTTCCACCTGTATAATTTTATGTAACTGTAGAAATTGGGTAACTGTAAGTGCTCACCTTTGTACACGCATGAGCTACTAGCATGCCTCCTCAGAATTTCCTCTTTCTGGATCCCTGCATGGGCAATAACTTAATAATGCATTGTGGACAGGTATTACATAAACGTAAGTAAGAACAAGCCTTACTAAGAAGATAAGTCTTAAACACCAGATCTGGCCATTCCATCGCAGATGTAAACCGTTCCAGAGTTTAGGCGCAGGAGCAACGAAAGTGCAGTCGCCCAAGGATTGTTAAAGTTTTTAAATTTGGGAATGACAAGACTATTATTGCTGTCAGAACGGAGACTATACACTGTATCCAGAACAAGATCACTGAGTAATTACGATACAATTTTTGAAATTTTCACAGCACGATAAGGCGTGGTAAAAATATTCAATGTAATTACACAATGGACAAAAGAGAGGTTACGTAATGTTCACACTTGGTTCTCGGAAGTGGAGCCCGGCATACCCCTCTGCTACTCTTGCCTTTCAAGATAAGGAGTTTATATGATTCAAAGCAAGGGGGCATTCTACTGATGGTCAGTCCAGTGATGAGAAAAGTCTTTACTTTGATATCTGTCCTTTGTCGTCCCGTGCCTGCCGGTCTTATAAGCGCTGCACTTTGCCTGGCTTCGTTTTCATTATTTTTAGTAGTTGCTAAAAAGTGACTATGAAGTTTTCAATGCATGGACAACAATCTATATATCTACACTGGTATACCAAGCACTAAGATTTTAGGAACTTGTTAAACCACACTACTTGCTAAGTTACAGTTTGTAATCTATATCAATGTTATGGTCACCTGACCATGTCCAGCTGTTTTATAACAGCATTCATTTTGCTGATTCTTTCCAGCATTGTAAGATCCTCCCCCTCCTCCACAGGAGTCATTCTCATTATCCCCGCTACTTCCCCCAGAGTAGCCTCCTCCACCTCCAGCACCTCCTCCCGATCCATAAGCGCCACCTCCCCCTCCAAACCCGCCTACAGCATTGTTTACCCTGGCTCTTCCACCCACTCCTCCCTGAAGAAATCCTTTGCCTCCTTNTTGCTAAGTTACAGTTTGTAATCTATATCAATGTTATGGTCACCTGACCATGTCCAGCTGTTTTATAACAGCATTCATTTTGCTGATTCTTTCCAGCATTGTAAGATCCTCCCCCTCCTCCACAGGAGTCATTCTCATTATCCCCGCTACTTCCCCCAGAGTAGCCTCCTCCACCTCCAGCACCTCCTCCCGATCCATAAGCGCCACCTCCCCCTCCAAACCCGCCTACAGCATTGTTTACCCTGGCTCTTCCACCCACTCCTCCCTGAAGAAATCCTTTGCCTCCTTCCCCGCCATACCCCATTGAGCCTCCGAACTGCTTTGAGCTTCTTCCACTGGAATAAAATCCACCACCGCCTCCACCTAAAATATCAATAACATTAAATAACTCTTCACTTACAACAGTTACCATGTGCTGGTGGATTTCTTGCAGAGGCTTTTTTCATTTAACAAATAAATTAAGATTCTATTGATAAAAGTAATCACATCACCTGTCCGATATCTATAATACTGGGAATCTAATATTAACAATTCTTTTCAGCGACCCATATTTTAGGCCTCGATGTGCGTTACTTTTATCATATGCCTTTTTATTTGTTAAATACAAATGCATACCACCAATTTCAATCAGAGTTAATCCAGGTCATTAAAACCTAGTCTTATTTCTATATCTTTGAATGTATTTATCTCATAATATCTGCCTTTACATGTATTTCCTTTACTTGAGGAACAATATAGCAAATATAAATTAATTTCATGAATTATTGGTATTTAAATAACTTTAACATACACTTCTTATTTTATTAGCTTCGCCAAAAAAACAAACAAACAAACAAACAAACAAATAAACAAACAGAAAGAACGTTGGCAGGGAGACCGCGCAACAGCTGTGGCCAATTATAGCGAGCCTGGATACTAATAAAAAAACATGAAACATTAAAAAGCACAGCGATGCAACAAAAACTACAGCTGCATACAACAAGTTTTGGACGAGACAAGGGACGAGCACTATTACATTTTAAACAGATAGACTTGAACGAACGTGGGTCTTCACAATCATAGGAAACAGCTAACGCGGACTTATAATAATTAAAAATGGCCGATTTAAAGGAAATTTAGGTCGATGAGCTCAAATAGTTCATCCGCTAAACAATTCCAAATTCTACTAGTTCTAATAAGAAAGGATTTCTGGTACGCAGTACTTTTACATTTCTTAATTATGCATTTATTAACATTGGTTGAGGATCTAGGGCGTCTACAGAGTGCGAACTTCAGGTAGGACGGAGGCGGTTCACGTTAACGTTAACAAGACCGTGTGTCAATTTGAAAAAAAAAGGTTAGATCTAAAAGTTTATGCTAGTAACAAATAGGTATTCGGTTTAGAGTTTGTAAACGAGCCTTATAACTTATATTAGAAGAACAAGGCAGTTTTAAGATAAACTTAGTCGCGCGTCTTTGGATACCCTCAAGCTTGACAATGAGCTCAAGGGACTGCGTGGCCCAAATTTGGGTGGCATTTCCCAAACTCAGTGTGGCCTAACTAGGGCTAGGTATAGCGTTCGCCTTACTTCAGTTCTAAGTATAAACCTCGTGTTCCTCTTGAAGTATCCAAGTATTTTATTAGCACGTGAAGATTGTTAACTGCTTCTGAGGAATCTTAAGGAAACATGGCAAGAAAGTCTTAAGCAGCTATGAAGGCTAATGAGTGAAGTTCCTTTATTTTCAAAGTTTTAATTGATATGAAAAAATGGTCAGCATACGATGGATTTGATGGTATTCGTTAATCAAACCGAAAAAGAGACACGAAAAAGTCAAACTTTGCAATGAGAAAATTGATGAAAAAAAAATTGATTGATTGTCTTTGATGTCATTAGTTCGAATCCTAAGGGGAGATAGAGTTATTCTTGTTTGTTTGTTGCTGTTGTTGTTGTTGTTGTTTTTTATATAACGTCTCTCTTATGACTCTAAAAGAAGTTGATACAAAAAGTTGGGGACTTTTACCTCCGTCGGTGAAGTTTGCCTCCACATTGAAGAAGGCGGATATAGTTAGATTTTACATGTAGATTTAGCAAAGATTACTGTCGTGGTGGCCCTACTATACTCATCTTAACACACTCGGCTCACCTGAGTTGTTATTGTCAGCGGTCGTTGCTCCGTGTCCACCGCTCCCTCCTGACCATGACCTGTACCCAGGATTCCCCGTTGTCCCTGTAGAGGCATCGCATCCTGAATGTCTTGATTGAGCAGTTTCCATGCCTCCTCCTCCTCCAGCTATTATCAAAGGTATGTTGCTCCCTCTCACCACAAACGTACCTCCACCACCACCACAGCTATTACCATTAAGGTTTATACTTCCCTCTTGACCAACAAGTATTTGAATTGTTTCTCCTTTGGATAAACGAAAATTTCCTCTCAATCTGGCACCTCTACCGCGATACTGGCCATTGTTGCTTCTTAAGCCATATCCCCCTGCAGCTCCTATTGCCTCTATCCTGTAGTCACCTGTTTTAGGCACAGTCCATTGTTGAATACCGCTGACCAATGTAACTTGACCGTCATGATCCTGACCACTGTAATAACTACCTAGAGAAGTTGGACCCAGTCTTCCACTCGCACCGAGGTTTGTAAAAACTGCTTTGAACGATACTGAAAAAAGAAAAAGATTCACTGATCATTTGTAAAATAATCAATAATCACTAATACGTATTTGATGAGCAACATTAATTGTATCGTCTGTTAAAAAATAATAGTGAAGAATAAAAAGCCTTTTAGTGAAAGTACGGGGTTGTTTTTTTCAGGTGAGTAATTAATGCAAAGAATTTTCATGATTTAAATAATTATGATAAGTTTAAATTCGTCATAACTCACTTTGTGGCTCTTCTTCGAGGGCGTTGCCTATGTTACATGGCTTCATTTACACTCCTGGTCCCAGTTGTTCAAACGTTGGATAGCACCATTCACCGGATAAATCACTATCCAGCGCCGGATAAGCATTAGGAAAAACAATTGCGCTATCCACCGGATAGAGATCAATATCCAGTGGATAGCGTTATCCACCTTTTAAACAACTGGGCTCAGTTCATTTAATAAAGCGAAAGGCTTAAAGAATCATCGGTACAAATGTACATAGGACTGAGTTTAAAGCAAAGTAAACTTAATATATTTGTTCAGTACTATTATGACATAATTTTATTGTCCTGTGACTTTTCAGTGCGGAGCGGTTGTTTGACTGTATCTTCATGTAAACGTATCGAGTACTGTCGCAATTTGTAATAATCATCGCACTTTGTAACACCTGTCGCAATTTGTAATAAATCCATCGCACTTTGTAATACCTGTTGCAATTTCTAATAAACCGTGTCGCACTTTGTAACAAAAAAGGTGTCGCAATTTGTAATAACAGTCCATTGCACTTTGTAATAATTTTTTGAGAGTGATTCAAACATGCATGTCTGCCACTATAAATTTTTCTGCCTTGATTAATCACGTGACCAACTAGAAACGCTTTATGAAAGACATGAAACTTCCTGTGACATATCATCAAAAAGATGTGATTCATGTTTAAATATTTAAAAAACAAAAGCAACATTTAACAACAGAAAATTCATGAATAACCTGGCTATCGTCGTCCAAATCCGTGTTTGCTTGCCACGTGACACGTGAAGTCTTCGGGGGGGGGGGGGGGGG